TATTGTTTTATTATATATATATATATATATATATATATATATATAACTTTTTCTTGATTTCTTTTAGTAGTAGAAAAATATATAAACAGTAGATTCACACAAAATTAGTATTTCTTTTGAGTGGATATTTTTTTTTGAAGATGTACACCCAATATCTTTATATAAGATATTATAAATGTTTCAACCATTTAAATCAAGTTTCTATTCGTGAGTATTGATCGATTATATTATATTCTGTAATATGATTATATTTAAATAATTTAATTTATATTTTATGCTAAATTTACATATGAATGGACTCATAATATTGGATCAAACAAAGATAGTTGTACGTGCAATTGGATTTTTATATATCGATTAAAATTTCTAATGTTGCTAATTATTAACTATCTTTATCACAAATAAACACTATTTTACAAGTGCATTCCATGAAATTGACAATGATACTTTATCCATCTTAAGAAACATATATATGTTGATCAAAATTTCTATAACACGAAAGACAATTTTATTCGGCAAAAATGATGATGTTACAATTTCTTACACAAGATACAAACTTTAAGATAATTAGTTAAACACTTGCAAATGTAATTAACGTTATATACGTATGTCACATATAAACTATTTGTTGTTGAAATATTAAAAAGATAAATAAGATACGTGTTGTATTAAGTATAAGATATATCAAAAATGTATAAGAACAATATCACATATACCAATTGATTTGATTGAGTGTAACTACAAACAATTATATATCTCTTTCAAAATTTGGTTAATCAATATTACTTGCAAATTTTAATAGGATCTATATCATTTAACTTTTTTTGTACTAATTAACACAATACAGACATGCAACGCATGTACCTATAGACTAGCTAGTATTACTAAAAGTGGGAACAAAAATGTTAAAGGTTAAAATAGCATTTTATCCCTACACTAAATAAAAATATTATAAAATAGCTAATCAATTAAATATTAAATAATAATTATAAAATAATAATAATAATAATAATAATAATTATTATTATTATTATTAGGTATCCTATTCCCAATAAAAAGGATCTTCTTTCTAGATTATATGATGCCAATATATTTTCAAAATTTGATTTAAAATCAGGGTATTGGCAGATACAAATTTTTAAAGAACATACTTATAAAACTGCATTTAATGTTCCTTTCGGTCAATGCGAATGGAATGTTATGCTTTTTGGATTAAAGAATGCACCATCTGAATTTCAAAAAATTATGAACGATATTTTTAATCCTTATATGGATTTTATTATTGTTTATATTGATGATATTCTTGTTTATTCTAAAACATTAGAATCTCATATAAAGCATCTTGATATTTTTAAAAATATTGTTATACAAAATGGTTTGGTTATATCCAAGACCAAGATGAGTCTTTTCCAAACAAATGTAAGATTTTTGGGTCATCAGATTTGCCAAGGGAGAATTACTCCAATTCAAAGATCCATAGATTTTGCATCAAAATTCCCAGATGAAATTACTGATAAAACAATGCTTCAAAGATTTTTAGGCAGTCTAAATTATATTTCTCCTTTTTATAAAAATCTTTCTAAAGATCTTGCTCCTTTAACTGACAGGTTAAAGAAAGGAAAGATGTCTCCTTGGAATGATAATCTGACTAATCTAGTTAAATTTATTAAAAAGAGAGTTCAATATTTGCCTTGCCTTTCTCTTGCTAATCCAAATTGGATTAAAATTATTGAAACTGATGCCTCAAATATTGGTTATGGAGGAATACTTAAACAAGTAAATCCCCATGATAAAATTGAGTATCTTATTAGATTTCATTCAGGCAAATGGACTGAATCTCAGCGCAAATATGCGACTATTGCGCATGAAATGCTTTGTATTGTTAAATGTGTTTTAAAATTTCAAGATGACTTATATAACCAAAAATTTATTATAAGAACTGATGCTCAATCAGTCAAATATATGTTTGATAAAGATTTCAAACATGATATTTCAAAATTAATGTTTGCTAGGTGGCAAGCCCAACTAACTCCTTTTGACTTTGAAGTCCATTATAAAAAGGGAAGTCTTAAAATGGATTAGGTATCCTATTCCCAATAAAAAGGATCTTCTTTCTAGATTATATGATGCCAATATATTTTCAAAATTTGATTTAAAATCAGGGTATTGGCAGATACAAATTTTTAAAGAACATACTTATAAAACTGCATTTAATGTTCCTTGCTAGGTGGCAAGCCCAACTAGCTCCTTTTGACTTTGAAATCCATTATAAAAAGGGAAGTGATAATTCTCTTCCTGATTTCTTATCAAGAGAATTTCTTAATTCTTAAAAATGTCTCCTTAATGTTATGAGTTGGGAACTAAGGCTGTCATTACTATTTTCAAAATATTGGAACCTTTAAACTCTGATTTAAAGGAAATTATTATTGATAAAATCTTTTATAGTCTTATTATGGAAGACTTAATTCATGATTATGAAATTGTTTCTCTAAATGGTGATAATTGGGAATATGACATAGAAGGACATTTTGACAATCACTAACTAAGTTGTTCAACCTT